GCCCCACAGGTGGGACTGGCCTGTGGCACGAGGCGATGGGGCTGCTCTTCTGGTCTTGCTTTTTCTCCTCACCGACACGCCTTGTGTGAGGAGATAAGTTAGCCAAGGCGTACCAGTTGGCTTCTCCTCTATGTTGCTCTATAAATTTTAAGGGGGTAAAAAAGGGGACTGAATGCTCCCGTCCTCCCAAGTGCTGGTAAGGCAGTGGTTTGCGAGGATTTAAGGATGCGAGAGGTGGTGTAAAACCTGCCCGGCAGCTGGTGTGTGGTCAGGAAGAAGCTGATCCCAGCAGGGGTCGCTAAACGTCCTCTCTTGTGCCGTTACAGTCTGCAGCTTTTTCATTCCGTCGATTTTGAAATCAAGTCTTCCACCGACCTCCAGATAAACGTTAAACTGAGTAAGTAACAGCCGGGGATGGGTAGCTGCAGGGGCCTTTGTGAGCAGCAGGACACACCGGGTGGGGGGCTCTGCTTACCTCCACGGGGACTGGATGGCAGCTGGAGGCTGGAAGTGGGTCTCTGCCACTCCCTGCGCACAGGCTCGGAGACAACGTGGTCCTCAAAGCCAGTTTTAACAGATTAAGCAGAAGCAGCTGCTATACACAATTGCATGCAATGGGAGCAAGTGAAAACCTGCCTGGCCTTCTGCACTCTCTTCAGGACCGGCTTTTCTTCTTCAGGATGACTGGGGAAATACAGGGGGATGTTTCCAAAGAGTGAGCCGAATGAGGGCTTCGGTGCAGGAGATCTGAGCATCCTTAAGGTCTGCTTTTTCAGCTGTCTCCTGGTTAGGCTCTGGGAAACCGAGCCCCTTCCTCAGTAAGGTCCATAGACTTGGACTAGAAAGGGCCAGAGGCAAACTACACTCCTCCACCTCCCGTAAGGGACGAGAGTGATGTGGGTTATTATGCATGCACAGAATAAGTTTTCCTGCCTCAAAATACATCTTCCTGCCTCAGGATACATTTTCCTGGTAAGTTCTCAGGGGAGAGAGCAGCACGAAGCTCCCAATGATGGCATATTGCAGCTTCCAAACTTCATGCAATAGGATTTAATTCCCTCCCTGCTCTTGTTTGTGGCTTTCCCATAGTGCCCAGGTTTTCCTAGCTGATGTTAGGGCACAACCGAGTCCCTGATGATCAAGAGCTGAGGAAGCTGGCAGGCATCTAAATGAAGCATGGCAAAGGGTGCCTGGTAGATTAAATTGCTGTGTTTTCTGTTTCTTTTATTTTTCTTCCATCCTGCACAGCATGCCAGAGGGACCGAGTGGCTGCCGACGGCTCAGACTGCTACCTGGTTTTCCACAAGCTCACACTTCACCTCCAAGGAGACAAAGAGTGAGTCTGACTCCTTTCAAAACTGAGCTCCACTTGCCTGGCCGCTGATCCCTGAGCATCGCCCACAGCAGGGATCGCAGGGTGGTCCTTGACCGGGCTCCCTGTCTCGCGCAGGCCAGGCTGGCTGAAGCAGCTCTTCACGGATTTCATCTCCTTCCCTTTGAAGCTCGTTCTCAGGAGGGAGGTAAGGTTGGCCACCGCCCACAGATGGAGGTAAGGTTGGTTCGTACGCAACGCGCTCCTTGGCTCACCAGATAACAGCAGGACACTTTTAGCGCTTGTGAAAAATTAAAAAAAAAAAAAAAGGATCTGCAAGCATGGATGATGGTGCCGGACCCTGATAACCAACAGCACCCAAGTCTCACCATCCCACCTTGCAACCCAAAATTCTCCCCTTCCCCCGTCATTTTTTTTCTCTCCTTTCCCCTTGTAGGTGTGCAATGAAGTAAATTTTCTTGCCCAGATGGTGGCAGATTTTGTACATGATCTAGCAGGTAAACATCCTTGCTTTTCTGCTTTCTCTTCTACGTGCAGCTTTTAATACCTGAGCTCTGGCAGGGCAGTAGCCATATCCACCCAAAAAGTCCTTTGAAAACGCGTTTGGGATCCCAGGCGACAGCAAACTAAACCTTAACGATGCTGCGCTTTGGATTTCCTGCATCAAATTGATTTTTAAGGGTGATTGCACTGGTTGAAAGACACATAAGTTGTTTCTCCTTCAATATGTAATGGCGGGGGTGCAGGACAGCTGCAGAAGGACCAATGGTAGCTAGACCAGGAGTATTGGGGCTGAGCTGTTACAGCACCTGTATGTGCCCACTGAAGATTTTCCTGCGCTTCCCAGTCCCAAATATCAGGAGCAAAATGTAAAACTGAATGTAATTACCCCTACTCCCCGGTGGAGAAACCGAGTCATTGAGTAGCAGCGGGATGAGCATTAGCACCCAAAGGAGCCAGCTCCCCCCTCCACTCCCATCCCTCTGCCCGTTTTCTAACTCCCAGTCCCCTTCCGCAGCAGCTCCTAAAAGCGCCCGTTGCAAACTTCTGCTTAAGGCCGTTATTTCTGGTGTGAGGTTTCCGCATTTTCTTCCTGCAGCAAATTTTGTCCAGGATGAGGATATCAAGCTCGATATCTCCCTCGCATCGGTTCCTTTAATAAAAGCAAATTATGTAGAATCACATCACAAGGTAAAGTAACCCAGGCTGCTCGCAGACCAGAAGGTTTTGGGTGATGTTTGCTGGAGGGATGGGTCGGGCTGGTCCTTTGGCTGCTGCGGGTGCTGGTTTTGTTCTGCTCGTCCTGTCCGACACGCTTGCTATCCTTCAAAGGGCCTCGTCCTCTACAAGAACTACTCTGACGTCCTCACTGACTCCGTTTTCTCCCCGTCGCTGCTGACCGAGTCCCGAATGCTCTACTTCTGGCTGTCCGAACACACCCTCAACTCTCTAGCTTCGGTGGCGTTCTTGGATAAGCGCCTGGTGTTGACCATTGATGGGGAGAAGCTGCAGGTGATTTCCCTCCTTACCTTGTGCATCACATTTTCATAGAATCATAGAATGCCTTGGGTTGGAAGGGACTTTTAAAAGTCATCTAGTCCAAGCTCCTGCAGTGAGCAGGGACATCTTCAGCTCGGTCAGGTTGCTCAGAGCCCCATCAAGGCTGACCTTGAATGTCTCCAGGGATGGGGCCTTCTCCACCTCTCTGGGCACCCTGTGCCAGGGTTTCAGCACCCTCAGAGTAAAGAACTTCTTCCTAATTTTGAGGAGAGAGAGAGAAAAATTCTCTAAATACTGTGGGTTTTTTGGTGAGAGCTAGTTTCTGTAGATGGTAGAAAGCTGTAGACAGTCACTACACATGATCATGGTCAGAAACGGGTACCTTCTTAGCAAGTATGTGCTACTGGGCAGCATTATCCCCTAGAGCAGTAACACCAGCTGAGGAAAGCTTGTCAAGTGACGTGATTTTCTGTGGGACTACTGAGGTAGAAGAGGGATGAACTTGGGAGGAACTGAGCCAGGCCTCTGAACTGGCCACAAGCCACATGTCAGCACCCCGGCCCATCAGGGCTGGCCATACCTTGTCTTTTGTTCTACAATCCATTTCTGGTTGGTTTCCGCAGGCGCTGTTTGAAACGGAGGACACGGAAGCGCAGCGGAAGGCAGTGCAGATGGTAACTTTTGGGCTTGTTCAGAGCATTTTACGCCAAATGAGGAACTTTTCAAACAGGTTCTGCTCCGTTGTAACACCTTCCCTCCGCAACTTGAGTCCCAGGTGGGCCCAACAGGGAAAACCAGGGACTGATGGAGAAACCATTGTGCTCAGCAAGGAGGACTTTTCCCACCATCCATGTTGGCACAGCTTCCCTGAAGCCCTGCTGAGTTATTTGGCGTGTGTGAACTGGAGGGGGATTTGGGGACTATGGAAGGGTTGTGGCTTTGTGGCACGGTGACATGAAATTGGGACGTGGTATGGAAAAAAACTCTGACTCTCCTGTCGTTCCTTACCTGACCAGATTTTTCAAGGCACCTCCTATAACGACTCCGTGGCGAAGGTGTGGAGCCTCACCCATCCCCAAATTTCTCTTCGGCCTGAAGGGACGGTCGTGAAGTCTTTGGTAGCAGTGGAGGTCAGCATCTTTCCCGCTGGAGAAGAGCCCCTGACGGTTCTGTACATGGAGAAGGTCAGTTCTTGCTTTTCCTGACTGGGAAGACCTTGAGAAAAGCTCTGTCCCAAGTCTTGGCCACTCCTGGCACTCACGGAGCCCAGGGAAGTGGGAGGTGGCTAAACCATGGGAGGTGAAGTTCTTATCAGTTCCTTTTAATACTCCCATCTCTTCCTTTGAGCTGATGATCTTAGAGGTCTTTTCCAGCCTTAATGATTCTGTGAGGCTGGGATAGTGACTGAGCTGGCTCAACACCTCTTCTTAGGCCAGCCCCTCACTAGGAAGGACCAGAAAGCTCTGGGGAGCCCCCATGTACCTGTATTGGATGCAGTGAAAGTCCTTTAGTTGAGATATTTTAGGAGAGAAGGAAGGCACCACGGGAAAGTATTCATTTTGGTTGTGACCTGCAACTAGATCACAAAATGCTCCTTTTAAACGAACGCTTCCATACAGGCGAAAGCAAGAAAAATTAGTCTAAATGGCCAGAATTCAGAGATTGCTTTCTTGTTTTTCATTTGGTTATCAATGCAGACACCACGGTAAGACTACTTGTGAGAGCCCTGGAGCTCTTCTCTCCACATCCAGCCTCACGTTGAGGTGGACAGTCATTGGGAAGCAACACCCAACGCAACTGTTTCCTTCCTTATTCGCAATCTGGTTCACAAAATGGCAAAAGCATCGGTTCTGCGGATGAGCCAGTCTAGAGCCCCACAGGCTGCGGGCATTGGGGAGGGGGGAGTTTGTTGCACGCAGATGGAGAAGGCAAATGCTGAGCTTCCCTAAGAGGTAAAGCCAGAAGGATGTTGAGCTCTAGGTCGTAGGAAGGAAACCAGAATGTCCCAATGCATCTCTGTGCTACGAGGCAAGGCAAGCTACCTCAACCCTTCTGTTCATCTCTGTGCAGGAAATCACTGTCACCATCCAAGCTGCCTACGTGGAAAAGAAACTTGTTTTCCACCCTTTGGACTCCAGGTCGGTGCCGTGGTTTCCCCTGGGTTTCATCACCCCTTTAAGCCCTCTCTGAGAGTAGCACAAAACGAGGGTCTCTGCAGCCCTTAGTGACCTTTTTTCCCCCTCCTTTTTCCTTCCCTTTCAGCATAGAGTTTAAAGTCTTTAAATGCACCGCTGATCCAAGTGGGGTAAGTCCTACAAAAGTGACTCTCTAGGCCATTTGTGGCTGAATGATGCCTACAAAACTTTTTGGTGTGAATTTTCTGGCTTTCAGGATGACCTGTCCGTAAGAAACTTCCTGCAGACAATGATCTCGGCTGTCGGGATCCCAGAAGTGATTTCAAGTGAGTCTTCCCTTTGGGGAAGTGGCAGCATCTGTAGGGCAAATAACGTCAGATCTCCTAAACCGAAGCACTGAAAAAATACATCAATAACCCTGATAGCTGGCAGTGGGGAGGGAACCACATTAATGATGTGAATTTCTGCTGGGTTCACTTGGGGAATGGGGACAAAGGCCGGGACAAAGGGAAAGTGAGTTTTCCATCAGGCTGAAGGTCATGGGGCATTGGGGCACAATTAGCTTTTGGCAATGGGCACACGAGGTCGTTTTAACGTGATGAGTGGCGAGCCAGGACGGCTGTACTCATAACTGGATGGGTTTGCTGATTCCACAGGGGTTGAATCTGCTTTGACGTCGCTGATGAACAGCAAAGGGCTTCATCTATTTGAGATCGGAAATCCTGAGATCATCACAAGAAAGGTGAGCAGAGCTCAACCACAGCTGACCCTCAAACCCATCTTGGGAGCGGACCAAAAACTAATATACTACTTTTTCTTTTTTTTTCTCCACTCTTTTTAGGGATACATAATTGTACAACTTGACTTTGGCTTCCCAAATCATTTGTTTCTTGATTTGCAGAAGCAATTATAGAATCGATTTCTTTATACCAGAGTGTAGGAGCCTGTGTACAACTAGAAAGATTGTGAACCCACTGAGCTGATTTAAATAAGCTACAGATGATTTTTCTTTCCTTTTCCTGAGAAACGCCTCAGTTTCTGTGCAATTGTACTTCCATGGAGCCTTTCCTCTGCAAAGATCTTGAGATCTGCACCTTTACACACGCTCCTTCTTCAGGATCTTTACAGGACTTGTGTGCTTACTCCTAGGAGTTGAACTCTTGAGGTGCACAGGCTCTGGGTGAGCACGCACAGGAGGCACCACAAACAGGCTTCATCCACCTTTTGGCATCTCTGTCGTTAGGTTTTGGAAACGCTGCACCTTTTTATGCTGATCCTGGCTTTTCCCTTCTGCCACGAACCAAGAGGATCCTGATTTTGACAGACTTCAGCAGCTCAAATGATGTTATCAAACTCCGAGTAAGCTCAGAACCAGCTATGCTAAAAGACCTGGGTATGACTGAAAAAAGTCAAGGGGGTGCAGCGCAGGAACAGAGAGATCTTGTGCCCTGTGTACTTTCTTTGAGCTCTAAGCAAGCTGTTCAGCTCGTGTTGTTTGAGACACTGGGAGCAAACTTGAGAAACACAATAAAAATGAGGAAGCCAAAGAGATTATAAGAGAAAGTTTGTCTAGTGAGACAGCAAGTTCCTGTTCCTTCCTACTACAGTGCAATAACTTATCTCAAGTGGCTCAGTTATTTTCCTGTACCAATTCATGCTTCTCCTCCCACATCAAAGTTGGGGCTTCGCAAAGATTCCTGTGAGGCTGGTAGCAGCGTGGCCTCAGCTTCTTGAGCTCCCTGGCCATGGCGGTTGCTCCCTTGGCATTGCCATGGATATCCACCCCAGGGGATGAGCCAGGGTGCTCAGACCTGCTCCTCTCCCACTCTCAATGGCTCTCCCGGCACATCCTCGCTGCTGGGTTCAATATCTCTTCAGCAGTTGTGGGGCTGAGGTTGGTGGAGGAGAAGGCTGGGCACGTGGAGGGGGGCTGCGTTTACGAGTTGCTCTGTGCAGCCAGGGAGGGTTGACCTTACTGGGTCTCAACCAGCCCTGTCCATGACGCAGTGTGAAAGGCATGACTCCATGGCGTGAAGAAGCCCTGGTGCAGCAGGCAACTTTCCACCTCTCTTCCCACCCTCTTCCCCTCACTGCTTCTGCCGGTTAGTTCGGATTCGGCCACGGGCTTGTCCATCCTCCCTCCTGCTCTAAAGCTGCCAGCTCTGAGGTGGCATTTTCCCCTCTCTGCATGACCATGTCTGCTGAAGATCGTGGGATGTCAAGCTGACGCCCTCTGGTCCTCCTGAATGATATCCCATTAGAGTGATGGAGCATTAATGAAAAAAAGAATGGCAGGGGAAAAAGAAAAATCTCTTTTTTTCTGCCCTGGAAGTGTCTTGCTCTGTGTGGGATGAAGGTGTCTGCTGGGGACACTCAGCGGCGACAGACTCTCGAGGCTGGGCAGGAAGGCTGCCCTGGTACAGGGGAGAGGGGACTGAAGCGGGAAAAGAAGCAGAAAGGCCAGTGGACCCCCATCACATGTGAAGGATGTGGAGAGGGTGCAGAGGAGGCCACAAAGATGCTCAGGGATCAGCTCCCTGTGAGGACAGGCTGAGAGAGCTGGGGCTGTTCAGCCCGGAGGAGGCTCCGGGGAAACCTTATAAATGATGTTGCAGTGCCTGAAGGGGCTGCAGGAAAGCTGGGGAGGGACTCTTGGCCAAGGAGTGTCTTGATCAGGGAGCTAAACTGATGCATGAGAGGCTGTGAAGGATGAGACGGGGGGTTTCAAGGCACAGAACTATTAGTTTGGACGTTTCACTGTCGCCTCCTCAGCCGCTTCTCACCCCCCG